GAGAAGGTAGGAAATGTTGATGCCAGTATAAGTTGTCAAGACTTGGGGCTCCTTAGAGGTAGGCTCTAGTGATCAGGGGACTCCTTCTAGGTCCATGGAGGACTTCCTTCTTGAGGATTAAGTGCTGCCCCCAGGACTACAGCCTATAATGGAAATCTCAGCAAGTCCACTCCCTGGGGAAATAGCATTGGGTAGTGAGTAAGCTTATGAATATAAATCCTGGCTCCATCTCTTAACAACGGTGTAACTTAACCCCCTCATGAGCCTTGGTTTTGTCTCCTATAAAATGGGATGATAATATGCACTCCATAGAGCTGTGAGAATTCAGAGAGAACATACCTGCATCAATACAAGTCCTGATATATGGCAATTTCTCCATAAATTCATTATTGTCATTGCTGCTGATGGTGTCCATCTGTGCTTAAAGGAAAGGGGAAATGATGTGGTTTCAGGGTGGGGTTCCAAGATTCCTAGAGAGTGGGAGACATCTCAAGCATCTTTGATTGGTCTTCAGAGCTTGAATTCATTCAACAAACATTTATTGAGCAGCTACTATGGACCAGGAGCTCTTCTCTGCAAGGTTTCTCCAGTGATGGAACTAACATTCAAGCACGTCTCATACAGACAGATATAAACAACTAAATAAACAGGTAAAACAACTGTGGCTAGACATCGTGATTTAAAAGCAAGGAAATAGGGCAGGTGGGGGTGGGGAAGCTACTTTAGACAGTAGCTTCGGACAGTCTGAAGAGGTAGTATTTGAAGATAGAGTTATTCAGCTACACAAAAAGTAAAGAGTAAAGAACAAAGGATTCAAGGCAGGAATCTGTGGAGAGTTGGAGAAAAAGAATCTGGTGTATTTGAAACAGCATGAGGGGTGTATTTGGAAGAGCATGAGTGGTATGAGGCCACTAGGGTGGAGATGTAGACAAGGGGCAAACTGGGACTGAATTTTCAGCTTAATGTGCTCCTCAAAACCTAGAGATCTCCTGGGGGTCGGGCTACGAGGGGAAGCCAGCGAGGGGGCCTTGGCAGCACCTGGGACAGCTCTCTTGCGCTGTCCATGGTGCTGACACCTGAGACCCAGTTCCCAGAAGGGAGAAGCCACCGATTCAACAGTGGGGTACAAGAGATGAAGTTCCCTACCCTCGAGGCGCTGGTGTTGCAGATATGAATAGTCAGAGTGTCAAAAATGGCTAATTAGAGGTGCCTGGGTGGCGCAGTCGGTTAAGCATCCTACTTTTGGTTTTGGATCAGGTCCTGATCTCAGGGTGATGAGCTCAAGCCCCGAGTTGGGCTCTGTGCTCAGTGGGGAGTCTGGTTGAGATTCTCTCTCCCTCTCCCTCTGCTCCTCATGCTCATTCTCTCTCAAATAAATAAATAAAGGGGTGTCTGGGTGGCTCAGTTGGTTGATCGTCTGCCTTCAGCTCAGGTCATGATCTCAGGGTCCTGGGATGGAGCCCCATGTCGAGCTCCCTGCTCAACGGGGACTCTGTTTCTCCCTCTCCTTCTCCCCTCCCCCTACTCATGCTCTCTACCCCTGTCTCTCTCTCAAACAAATAAAATCTTAAAAAAATAAAATAAATACATATATATATTTTAAAATGACTAATTATTGAGGGTCTCCTGTTGGCTCAGCCTATGTACTTGGGCAAAATAATGCCTGCCCCCTCCAAACACGCCCACATCCTAGTCCCCAGAACCTGTGAATATGTCCCCTTACATGGCCAAAGGGACTTTGCAGAAAGGATTACATTGAGGACCTTGAGATAATCTTGCTTTACCTACGTGGGCCCAATGTTATCACAAGGGTCCCTGCAGGAAGAGGGCAGGAGGGTCAGCATCACGGAAGGAGAGGTTGATGGAAGCAGACGTCAGAGTGATGCAGTATGAGAAAGATACAGCCGGCCACCGCTGGCTTCAAAGGTGGGGAATGGGGCCACATGCCAAGGACTGCAGGTGCCTCTAGAAGCTGGAAAGGCAAGAAAGCAGATTCTCCTCTAGGGTCTCCAGAAGGAATGCAGCCCTGCAGACACCAGGATTTTAGCTCAAAGAGACCCATTTCCAACTTCTGGCCTCCAGAACTGTAAAATAATAAATGTGTGTTGTTTGAAGCATCAAGTTTGTGATGATTAGTTACAGAAGCAGTAGGAAAATCATACGGGACCCTAAGTCCAGAAAAGACGGCTCTTTCCTTTACAGAATCCAGGAATTGGAAAACTGGGCATTTGAATCAGGTGGTCTGACCCCAGGTCTGTGCTCTACACTGCCTCACCATGCTGGAAATATCTTCCCTGCTGTTATGGACTGGGCTGTGTCCCTGCCATCCCAATTCATATGCTGACATTCTAAACCCTGTGCAAAGGACTGAAGGTTTGTGTCCCCTGCTTCAATCCACATGTTGAAATCCTAACCCCCAATGTAATGGTATCCGATGGGGCCTCTGGGAGGTAATTACGTCATGAGGGTGGAGTCCTCACGAGTGGGATTACCGAGTGCCTTTATAAGAGAAACCCCAGAGACACCTCTCATCCTCTCTCTGCCAAGTGAGGGTACAAGAAGGTGGCACTCTGGAACCCAGAAGAGGTCTTCCCCACAAGCCCGCCATGTTGGCACCTTGATCTCAGACATCCAGCTTGCACCAGTGTGAGAAATAAATTTCTGTTGTGTACAAGCTGCTCAGTCTCTGGTACTTTGTTATAGCAGCCTGTGCTAAGAACCCCAGGACCTCTGAATGTGACTGTATTTGGAGACAGCGTCTCTACAGAGGTAATTAAGTTAAAGTGAGGTCATTAGGGTGACCCTGATCCACTATGTCTAACGTCCTTAGAAGGTGAGGAGATTAGAACACAGGAGCAGAGGGAAGACCGTGTGAGGCCATGGGTAGAAGATGGCCACCTGCAAGCCAAGAGGAGAGGCTTTAGAAGGAACCAAGCCTGCCGCCACCTTGATCTTTGACTTCCAAGACTCCAGAACCAAGAAACTGAGGTCTGCTGTTGAAGCCCCTGCAGCCTGTGGTACTTGGTTATGGCGGCCACGGCAAAGCAATATATCTGGGGACTGTGGGAAGCTCCAGCCCAGCTCCAGCTTCACCTGAGTCCGCCTTGAAGAGTAGCGCTCTCCAAGCCCATAGAATCACAGTTAGGGTGCTCAACCCATCTCAACAGGTTCTGGGCTATTGCAAGGCGAGGAGTGGGGCTTCAGGTAAGCGTCTAGAGACAGGGCATACATGAGCCCCAGGGCTGTTCTTGCCCAGCACGGCCTCTCTGGACAATGTCGTCATCCCCATGGCATCAATCTCCACCACTGTCCTGGGGCCTCCAGACTGGTTCCCGGTACAAATCTCTCTTAAGTTCCCACCCCAAACGTCCAGAGCCCCTGCCATCTCCCCTCGAATGGTCCCTGAAGCTCCTCAGACTGAACATGGTGAAAGCAGAGCCGAGCATCGTCCCCTGCTCCTATTCCTTTCCCTGCATCCCATCTCGGTGAAGATGCCCCTCCCTGGTCACCTTTGCCAACCAAAGTGCCCTCGTCCTCCTTGGCATCCCCTGCCCCATGCTCCCCACTGCTGCCCCAACCTAGGCCATCATCTCTCCTCAGTCCCCTGCAATCTGTCCCCTTCTGGAAACACAGATCTGACTATTCGCCACTCAAAAACCTTCCAAAGCTGGTGCGTTGCTGGTGGGCAGGTGAAGTGGTGCAGCCACTGTGAGGAAAAGTGATAATTCCTCAAAAAGTTAAACTTAGAATGACCTATGACCCAGCAATTCCACAGCTGGGTCCACACCCAGAGGAAGTGAAAGCAGAGACTCAGAACTGGGGATGTACACATCCGTGTTCACAGCAGTCATTATCCACAATGCCCCAGAGATGGAAGCTACCCCAGGGTCCACTGACGGATAAATGGATCAACACAACATGGTCCATCCATATCGCGGAATCTCGTGTAGTCTTAAAAAGGAAGGACATTCTGACACCTGCTACAACATGGATGAACCTCGAGGGCGTCATACTTAGTGAACTAAGCCAGTCACAAAAGATCAAATACTGTAGGATTCCACTTCTAGGAGGTCCCTAGAGGAGTCAAATCCACAGAGACAGAGAGCAGAAGGTGGGAGCCCGGGGCTGGGGAGTCCTTGTTTAATTGGGGCAGAGTTTCAGTTTCAGATGAGAAAGTTCTGGAGATGGATGGCCACACAACAGTGTGCGTGAATTTAGTGCCAGTGAACTTCACACAGAACAGCATGTGGTGAAGGCAGTGAGCGGGAGCCCCAGGAGGCCTGCAGCATGTAGCAGGGGCAGTGGCCAGGAGCTGGGCCCAGGCTGGAGTAGTAACATCCAGGGAGTCACGTCAACACCCACATCCCCACGCCTCAGGTGAAGCAAGGGGGCTCAGAGTTTCAGCAACAAGCCCAAAGCCAGCAGTAAGAGGCGAGGCTGGGGTTTCACACCAGGCAGTCTGGCTCCACAGTCTAGACACACCAAGACAGCGAATGAGAACACTTGGGGACAGGTCTCAGCGCAGCATAGGGACTGGCTCATTCTGTGTGACCACAGCCTAACACACAGTAGGACCAATGCCTGGGAGCCTCTGAAAGTCCTTAAGCCTGTGCATATGTACACAGCGTCCTCTGGGAACCAGGCTCTGTGGTGCACACAGTAGGAACGTATAGGAAACACAAAGCACCTGCACACAGTAGGACCAGCCGAGCACAGAGGCTGCGGAAATCTAGTAAGGAAAATGAGGGGTGCCAGGGTGGGCATCCAAGAATATCTGTGATCCCCAGATCCCCCCTGTGGTCTGAAGCCAGCACTGAGTGGGACTACGGGGCAATTCTGAGAGAGCACTGACAATGGGGGAAGCTAGCTGGGCCTGAGGCTGGGCACGGCATGTGGGTACTGTGACAAGCTCAAGGCCGTTTGGGCCTCAGCTCCAGCCATCCTGGTCACGGAAGGTGGGGCGAGGTGCCCCTCCGAACCCAAAGATGACACGAGGCCGCTTCCAAGAGGGCAAGGTTTATTGGGAGTGACTGATCACGGTCATCAGTGCAGTGTGGCCCCTCCCCCTGGGGGCAGGGCAGTCCAGTGTGTGGGCCCCAGGGGCCTGGCGTTCCAGGGGGACCCAGGGGGGTCGCAGGCATAGCAGCAGGCAGAGAAGGAGTGAGCCACCCCCACAGGGCTCAGCCCCAGCCCAGCCCCAGGGGGACCCCTCTCGAGGTCCTCAGGCCTCCGCAGCTGAGCTGGGAGGGTCCAGGGGCAGACAACGCCGGTGCCGGAGAATGGACTTCTCCTCCTCCTGCAGGGACAGGAGCGCCACACGCACACGTCACACAGCACGGGACACTGGCACTTGTGCCTGCCTCCGCCGTGTCACCCCCACCCCGTGGAGGGCCAGGGCCACCCACTCTCACCATCTCGGACGCAGTGCTGGGGCTCGCACCCTCGGGAGAGCCTCCCTCGTCCCGCGAGCAGTCAGGGCCTACGTCCTCCTCATACTCCGTCAGGCAGTCCGATTCCTCCCCTGGAGTCCGGGAGCAGGGCGAAGTGAGGGGGTGCGGGCTGGCCCGACATCTCCAGCCATATCCCACAGATCCCAGCTCCAACCTCCCCCCCCCCGCCCCCGAAGGTGGCCTTGGCCCCTCACCGTCAGCACAGCCGTCAGAAACGTAGCTCGTGGGGGGCTCAATCCGGGACACGATCTCCGCCAAGTCGGTGAAGCCAGAGCTGGGGAAGGCCAGCACCTGTGGAGTGGCGCAGGTGAGCATCTCGGGGGGACTGTGGGGTCCCGGAGTGTCAGGGGCTGTGGTGTCTTGGGGACCCTGAGATCCGAGGGGGAGCCCTCTGGTCTGAGGGGCTCTGCTAAATCCAAGGAGGTCTGGGGTCATCTGAGTTTTTGGGGTGCCTCAGCCAGGCTGGGGGAAAGCTCTGTTGTTAAGAGTGGCCCCACTGGGGTAGGTCCCAGGCTTACGTCTGCGCGGCGGCTCTCGTTGAGGTCGGCAGATCGCCGGTCTGTGAGCATCTTTTCAATGACGTCGCCCCGGCTCCAGCCCCCAAACACAGCCTTCCCATACTGGTAGCCCACATCCTGCCGGAAGGGAGGAGGATGGAGCCGGGCCTGCAAACACCCCTCCCCTAACGTTTTCTCTGCCTCCCCTTCTCTGCTTATCTCCATTCTGCTGACCCTTCCTTAGCCCCTCAAGAGCCCGATGCTCTGGAGGGAGCTGGCATCTGAGGCTCAACTTATTTCCGAGCCAGCCACGTGTAGCACACCTGTCCCCAAATTCCTCATCCTGTGCCCCTGCCAGGCCTGACCCATCAACCTCTCCACATTCTTTCCCCCTCAGCCCCACACAGTGCGCCAAGTGCCAACTGGCATGAGACCACGGTGCGTCAGCTTATCTCAAGGTCTGCAAACATGCCAATACCGCTGCACCCATCGCCATCTCCCCAGCCCATGACAGACATCACTAATCCACCACGGCACACTTCAGCTCCCGATCAGTTTCAGCGGCCGTGGGCTGGGACGCACTTTTCAGATCAGTGGCTAGTGGCCCGCGCACGGCTCCACGCTGCACCCATGCCTGTGGCAGACATGACTAACGGATCGCCTGTTCGCATTCCCACCCGTGCGGAAATGGCGTTAGAAACCTCTCATGTGCTCCGGGCAGTGCAGCCAGCACCTAGCAGGAAACTTAGTGCTTACACAGCACATGCACAGCCCCGTTCCCTTGCCACACTCACCGCAGGCATCACAAATCAATTACCAATCTGCTCCTCATGGAGCCCATTTGGGAATGGAGCCCTACAATCCTTCCCCCTGGGTCGCTCTGGGCTTTAAGCAGTAAAGCTTTGCCAGCCCACCACACTGGCACCGTGCCATCCCCACCCCGCTCACATAGATCTGGTCGAACTTCCCGAAGTCCATGGTCTTGAAGCAGTCGATGGGCGGGCGCAGGTACTCGCAGTAGGAGCTGGACTTGACGACCTCCAGCTGCCGCACACAGGACACATAGGCCAGGCGGGACTGGATCTCGGCCATGTCTGGAACCTTGATCTTGTCTGCCCAGGGGTTTAGCCGCTTCCACAGCAGCCACCAGCCAGACAGGCTGTCCCCGTAGGTGCTGAGGTCTGTCTCATCCTGGCTTCCCACATCAATGGCGATGACCGTCTTGGCACCCATACTGCGGGCGATGTCAGCTGTGGGGCGGGGGGTGTGGGGGGGAGGGTCAGCAGGCAGCTCCCCACCAGGGCCCAGGGCAGAGAATGTTCAACCCTGTCCCACAAACACCATCATGCAAATGGTCACACACAAAAACCCATGCAAACAACATGCTGGTATGCAAAGGGCACGGACTTCCAGGCCTGTGATGTTAAGGAGGTGGGGTCCGACAGTGGAGCTTTTAGGTCTGGGGGACTGGGGCCAGAGGGATGGGGCAGATGCAGGCAAAGGGACAAAGTTTTTGGGGAAAAAAGACACCAGGTCAGACACATGGGGGGACAGCGGCATGGAGGGGAGTCCTGTGGAGAGATAAAGGTTGGTAAGGACACCAGGAACCAGAGACACAGGAGGACAGAGTCAGAGAGGCAGGGAGTCCAAGCGACAGAGGCGTGGAAGTCAAGCCACAAGGGAGAGAAATGCAGGGAAAGAGAGACAGCAACAGAGATTTTCGGGGGAGAAAGAGATATTAGAGATCCAGAAGGAGAGAGAATCTGGGGGGATATGTGGGGCTGAGACGGTGACAGAGAACGATGATCAAGAAAAAGGACATTCAGGAAAACAGGACAGAGGCGTGAAGGGTGGGTGATGGCCCCGTGAGGAGGGTGGTGTGTCTGTGGGTTTGTGTTTGCATGTCCGTGTGTCCCATGGAGGGTCCCTGAGTGGGTCTGGGAGAGCCTGGGGGCATGGGGACAGGGTCCTATAGCCAGGCCCAGCCCAGGAAGATACCCAAGTCTCCAGCAGACTTTGCACGAGTCCCTCATGAGCTAATCTGTGTGTCTAGGAACATGTTCCCACATCTGTGTGCCTGCACGCATCTCTGTTGTCTGTGTGTGTCTCCTGCCTGTGTGTGAACACGCACGCCTCCGGGTGTGTCTATAGCTCTATACACACACCAGGGCCTGAGTGCATTTCAGTCCACACGTGTCTAGATCAACCTGTGGATCTGCCTACACCCGCTCACGTGTGTGCAGCTGTTAGCGTGTGCACCCGCACAGAGCCTGCACGGCGGGGAGTTGGCAAACTTTTTCTGCAAGGGGCCAGAGAGAAGATAAGTTTGGCTTGGCAGCGGAGTGGCCTCCCTCCCTACTCTCAACTTTGCCCCTGTGGCACAAAGGTGGCCACAGATGAGACGCAAACGACTGGGTGTGGCCGCGTGTCAATAAAACTTTCTTTAGAAAACCAGGCAGGGGGCTGGATTTGCTGGAGTTGGCTGATCTCCGGCCTCCAGGACCGAGAGTGTGTGTTCAGCTAGCACACACGTCTACTTGTGTGTGCTCGCCTCCGGGCACGCGAAATTTTCAGTGGCACCGCCGGCCCACCGCTCGCCCGCACACGTGAGGGCAGCAGGTACGCAAGCTCACCGTGGACCCAGAGGTGCCCGCCGTGTGTGTGCGTGCGCTTGTGCGCGTCTGAGGCAGCGCGCAGCGTGTATGTGGCCAGCCTGGTGGGCAAGGACACGCGCCCGATTTCAGGGGCACAGGGGTCTGGCCACGTGCACGTGTGGGAGTACGCTATCCGCACTGTGAGCAGCTGCGAGAACGCGTGAGCCCAGCCGGGGGTCCCACGGTCCCCTGCATGCTCCTTTCCGTGTGCGCACGTGTGTCTACGTGTGTCCATTCACGTGAACACAGCCCGTGGAAGCGCCTTCCAGCTCCACACGCTTCTGTCCTCGGGCGCTCCCACGTATCTGCCGCTGCGTGAGCGTGCGCGCGCGTCCTCCCGGGCGCCTATCCGGGCGTGCGCCTGGACATGTGCGCGCGTGCGGGCGAGCGGGCAGCCACTTGCCTGGCAGGTTGTTGATGTAGCCGCCGTCCATGAGGAGGTGCCCGTCCTTCGGGTCGCACAGCGGCGGCAGGTAGCCCGAGAGCGTCATGCTGGCGCGGACGTACCGCCACAGGGAGCCTGCCCGGCGGGACACACAGACACAGACACGCACAGACACGCTCAGACAAGCTCGGAGGCCCGGCCAGCCCGGTGGGCTCGCTGACCTGGCACGTTGTTGACATAGCACCCGTCCACCAGCAGGTGCCCGTCCTTGGGGTCGCAGAGCGGGGGCAGGTAGGGGCAGTAGGAGGCACTGGCCCGGACGTAACGCCACACGCAGCCTGCGGGGACGGCGTGAGGGCGTGAGGCGCCTGACTCCTCCCCCAGCCCCCCACCCCTGAGGAGAGACATACCTGGGGCCTCTGGGGCATTAGTGGGTGATGGTTAGTGCTCGGCAATCGGGCCAGGGTGGACGGTCACTCATGTTAACAATGTCCCAGATGCTCGGCTGCCCTCCCTGCACCCCCTCCCCCCCAGCCGCAGAGGTCGTTGTGGGGTCGGCTGGGGGCACCCACCATCTTTGTGGACACGCATGGCCGAGGCGGTGATGTCCGTGGTCACGTTGAAGTACGGCAGCCACAGGTCCTGTGGGAACAGGGACCAAGCTGGGAGAGGAGTGGGGACTCCCGTGGGGAGCGGCGGGGACAGGGCAGGCGAGGGCGGAGGGCACACCTCAATCTGCTTGTCCTGGAAGACCCGGTGGATGCTGCGGTTGAAGGCCGACCCGGTGAACATGGAGGTGACAGGGTACGTGAGGTCCAACACCGGCTCCATCACCGAGGTCATGCCCTAGGGGCAAGGAGGCAGGCTGGGGTCGAACGGGAGTCGCTTGGGGTCACTAACGAGGTGGTCACTAAGGGTCCTGACTGCTCCAGCCGGGGGGGGCGGGGGGTTGGGGACTAGGGTCACTAACCAGGAGATCACAAGAGGTCGGCAAGGTCCTGGAGGTATTGCCATGAGGGTCCAGGAGGGGTTCACAGATGGAAGTCAGGAACAAGGCAGAAAAAGCCCAGGAACCCCTCGGGGATCAGCTTTCAGGGTGCTCCTCCAGTAGGTGCCCCCCCACCATACACACCTTGGCCCACTCCCGGGCCCGCTGCTTCGTGCGACTGGCGCTCCGCTCCTCCGCGTACAGGGCCCCAATGAAGGACCCGATGGATGTGCCGCCCACCAGGTCGACAGGGACACCTGCCTCCTCCAATGCCTTCAGCACGCCGATGTGCGAGCAGCCCCTGCAAGGGAGACAAAACCCAGGGGCCCACTGGAGACCCCCAGGTCCCGCCCCCTCCCCAGCTCCCCCGTCCCCCCACCTCCTCCACAGGCAAGGAAGGAGTGCCAGCCGCACCCCTCAAGGGCGGTTCCCTGGGAAATAAGCCCCACCCCGCAGGCACCCTG